CTTGTTGAAACTTGCTGGGTTCCCACCCGGCGTGGCACAGGGCCACCCTCTGCCTGAGCACCCCCCCAAGCTGACAAAGCCCTCTTTTCTCTGGGTAGGCTATCAACGAGGTGGCTTTGGGCAGCTCCAACGTCGTGGTCCTGCCTCTAGGTAAGTGCTGGGGCGGGACGGGATCAAAGCCTCTTGGGATTTAATGGCATCCGTGGGTGGCTCCGGGAAATGCCACCTAATCAGGCGGGTCCCTTGGGTTGGCTTAGCCCAAATAGGTCACTGCCGGGACCAGGAGGATGCTCGGTGGCTGGGTGCTGCCTCCCACCATGTCCTACAGCATCTTGGGTTGGACATTGCCCCCTAGCCCATCCCCAAGCCCTCCTGTCCCCTTGCAGACATGACAGACCCCAATAGCATCAAAGCCGTGGTCGGGAAGGTGCAGGAGGTGGTGGGAAGCGCCGGCCTCAACCTCCTGATCAACAACGCCGGCACCACGCGGCGCAGCACCCTGGCCACCGAGACAGCAGAGAACATGGCCATGGTCTACTCCACCAACACCATTGGGCCCCTGCAGACCAGCCAGGTGAGGCCACAGGCGCACCCTGCCCCAAATGCTGGTGGGGTTGGGGGGGAAGAGGATGGTGATGCCAGTGCACTTGTCCTCCCGCAGGCGTTCCTGCCCCTGCTGAAGGAGGCGGCCGAGGCTGAAAGGCAACGTGAGATGAGCTGCAGCAAAGCTGGCATCATCAACATCTCCAGCATCTTGGGCTCCATCGAGGTGGCAGAGGCTTGGGAGGAGAGGCAGGACGTCTGCTACCGCTGCAGCAAGGTACCACTGCCGGGGAAATGGGGAGGAATTTGGGGGTCAGCCCTCCTCCAGCCATGGCAGTGCCACCCCATGATGGTTGTCCCTGCAGGCTGCTCTGAACATGCTCACCAAGTGCCTGGCGCTGGAGTACGGAGGCAGTGGGATCCTCTGCGTGTCCGTGGACCCCGGCCGTGTGACACCTCCCTTGGAACGGGGGACGGTGAGTGACAGGAGGTGCACGGCCACCCTGGGGCGGCAAAGACCCATGGGCAACCCCCCCCAAGGGCATCCCATCCCAGGACATCCCTTCTTACAGACATTGCTTCCTCAGGAGCATCCTTTCCCAGGGCATCCCATCCCAGGACATCCCTTCTTACAGACATTGCTTCCTCAGGAGCATCCTTTCCCAGGGCATCCCATCCCAGGACATCCCTTCCCATGGACATTGCTTCCTCAGGAGCATCCTTTCCCAGGGCATCCCATCCCAGGACATCCCTTCTTACAGACATTGCTTCCTCAGGAGCATCCTTTCCCAGGGCATCCCATCCCAGGACATCCCTTCTTACAGACATTGCTTATCTCTCCCTGGGCTGTCCCATCCCATGGACACCCCTTCCCAAGGGGCATCCCCCGCCCATGCGGCCCCTCTGTCCCAGGAGAGCTGCCCCACCGCAGAAAAGGGCCAATTCTGAGCTTTCTCCTCCAAACCCATCCCATTTCCTCCCTAATTTTGCTCTCATTTCTCATCCCAGCCACGTGTCAGCAGAGGGCACCCTCGGCCCTGGCTGGAAGGGTGCACCCAGAGCGCCGCCTCCCCAGCATCCCGGGACCATCATCACCAAAAATCAGGCTTCTCTGACCGTGCCAGGTTGGAGATGCCTCTTGCAGGGCTCACTGCCACGTTGGCTTGCAGAGCAACCAAATCAGTCACTTCTTTTTTAGTTAGGAACTAACCTCTATCCATATAGCACCCAATTAGGGACAACTAATTTGTTCCAAGCCTCATCTCTTGGCTGCTGGAGCATTTCCAGCTTCTCCCAAACTGCCCCGGCTGGAGCTGGCATCCCGCCGCATTCAGGGCTGGGGTTTGGGGTGCCAGGGAAAGGGGTTTTGGCTGATTTTTATTCCCCGTGTTCCTGTGTCTGGCAGGGCCCGGTGACGGTGGAGGAGAGCGTGCGGGGCGTCCTGCGGCTGCTGGGCCGGCTCTCGGCCACCAGCAATGGCACAATGGCCCCTTCTGGGCCTGGAGAGGGCAGAGCCTGCCCGGGTGAGAGCGGGGTCCAGCCACGGCAGCTGCCGAGCTCAGTAAAGGTCGTTCATTGCCATTTTCAGGCTTGTTCTGGATCTGTGGGGTGAGGGCAGGGACCTTCCCACTAAGGGGGTGAGAGCTAGGGTCGCTACTGCAGCCCCCCAAAAGGGATGCTGAGTTGGGCCAGAGGAAAGGATGCTCCAAGCGTGCTCCTGCATCCCTGGGGCCAAGGGATTTCCCCCCAGGGCATCCTCATGCCACCCAAGGGACACATTTGGGTCCAGCCCCGCTCTGTGGCCATAAGCCGAACCGGCTGGGGTCTCGGGGG